TGCTTGCTCCCGCCTGGCAAGTTCCCAGGCGCTGGCCATGGCAGGATTTCTCAGAGCACCCCGGCGTGTCTTACGAGTGAGTTTTCTGTATAGTGTTTGTGCAAAGGGAAAGGAGAAAAAAAAAAAATCACCGCTGGGAGGTACAGGAGAGTTGAGTTTGTAGGAGCAGCTGGTGCTCAGGCTTTTTGGTGGGGGTCAGGGGTTCAGGAAGCTTTGTGCTCTCTAGAATCACAGAGAGGCAGTGTGTGCCTGTCAGCGAAGTATAAATACAGATAAGCAGCTTCAGTGCTTTATCGGTGCTACCTGCCAGTGCTGATCAAGGCGTGTGTAGGAAGGCAATCGTTTGTAAAGCTCCGCAAAGTTTTACGGTGCCGGAGGGAGCTGGTAGTTGGAAGAAGAGGGGAAATAGAAGTGTTTAGGTTCTGTGAAAGGGTTAGTCGGGAGGAGAGGAGCAAATGCCCGTCTGAGAGAGCGGCCCTGCTCCCCGCCTGCATACAGCAGCAGGACATTAGGGAGAGGAGCTGGCATTGTGCCTCCACCCCCCCTCAGGCAGCTTCCAGTTCTCTTCCCTGCCTGCAAGTGTCTGTACATCCAGCTGAGGCGGTTTTTTTCCCCTAAGGACTAGAAAATCCTTAGGACTGGAGAATAAGCTAAGAAGCTGACATCACTGAACGCCTTTTATACCTGTGCAGCTGCCCACACCTGTCAAAGGCTCTACTTGAACTCTTGATAGGGGCTCTCTATTCGAAGGCAAGTTGAACACCTGTAGACAGCAATGGTTCATTTTGGGATCTTGAGGCAGGTGAAGCTTGGGAAAACCCACTGCTCTTTTTTACCCTGTTTATATTTAGTTGATGTAGTAATCATTTGCAGAAACTCTGAGCAAGTCTTGTGCGTTTGTTTCTTACAGTCATCTTTGGGGAGGGAAAAATGCAAAACCTCAAAACAAAAACACTAGGGACAGCCTTTGCTAATTGTAGAGTCAGATGCCTTTTGCTTGAAAATAATTCATCTGACATATTCAAATCTAAGACAGTAAGTGAGAGCAAGTTTGTTGATTTCACTGCCCTAGCACTTGACAGAAAAAGATGGCTTCTGAGATATCTGTTGTTGAAGGTAGAAAAATAAGAGTTTAAAAGCCATTCCTAATGTCACTAGGCAAACGGTTCCACAGAGAAGCATTGTAAGATGGCTTAATGTGACTGCACGCTAAGTGGAGCATTTCAGCTGCAAAGATGCAGATTACTATTCAACTTCTGCTGAAGAATTATAGGCAGTGCTAATTTGAAAAGGTAATTTTATTTTTTTATTAAAAACTTCTTTTAATATAAGAATATTTGCTAACTTGAAACGAGGTACTGAAATAGGCACTGGATTTTTTTTGACAGAGCATGTTAAAGCAAATGTGGACCTACCTAATGATTACTGAGTGTTCTGTCAGCTCCATTACCGTAGCGTTTAAGTATCCTTATGCTATAAAAACCATACAGTTCAAGTGTTCCTGTGTTGTCAAGAATAATGCTTTGTTCCCTTTATCCCATTATTTTTATTCCATTTTAAAGACAGAAGGAAAAGTGACTTGCTTAAGACTGTGGCCAGAGATATGAGAAAGGAGACCAAAACCAAGGCCTCCGGGCCCTACACTAGGTCACTGACCACAGGACTGAACACTTTATCATGGTGAATCTAGGGGACCAGCTACACCAGTAGCTGCATTCAGATATTCCAAGTTGCTGGAAGGCTCTCAAGATAGGAAATGCAGCTTCTTGACTAATTGTAGACCTTGTATCGTCTGAACTACAACTATGACTTGTACCTCAAAAATTGGAGAGCCAATTGCTCCTTTTATTTGTCTATATAGACATTGTGATTTGCTTGCTCAGGCAGTTGCTTTAGGAATAGTACAAAATACCTTAGATTATTTTTGTTCTTATTGTAATTTATGTTACAGAGTAATAGAGATAGCTTTGTCCACCTGGTAACGACACAGTCCCTGTTCAAAAATGTTTTTTTAAAATTGACCACATAAAAATGGGGAAAACAGAATGTCCAGTTTCTCACACAGGGAAGTGAAGGAGAGAGGGATTACGTGAGTATTTCAATATTGGACACCCAGTGCCAATAGAATTGAATCTTACCTTGGCTCAGTCCCAGATCTGAGTACCATGGCTTCCCCTGTAGTTTACCTGAGGGCATCATCTGTGCTAAGAAACCCTTCAAAACAAATAAGAATTATGGGTAAGATTGTTCTGAGTTGTGTAGGCAGTCTGGGTTGTAAGAGAGCTGTCTGACTTTAACAGTTCTCAAATACTAATGTTTTGGAGATTTATACATTTTGAGATTACTCCTATTTCCTTTTCATCAGGAAATGGGAATAATTTCAGTATAGAATCACGAAGACTTCAAGGGGATGTGAACTTTTCTTCAGAGAAGGGTGTAATTTGAATCCATGTTTATGTGAAGTATGTATGTACACAAATACATCTCTGATAAAACTTTTGGCAAATGCTTTTGCTGACAGCAAGATTTTGGAAGCATGGGTTACTTCTGAAAAACAGGAATTCTCTTTAAGTGTAGCTTTACATAGGAAGAGAATAAAGACTTGTAAGCATATTAATCTAATTTTAAGTTGATAGCTGTTTGGGGGAGGGGGGAAGGGAATTCTGTTAGTTTATAATTACTTGTAGCAAAATACTTAGCATCTTCCACACTTTCAGAGAGACCATCAATAAGTAAGTACAACTTGAGAAGGATAGGCAATAAGCTTTGTATTTTATCCATGGCTGCAAGTTACACTCTGAGAATGCAAACATAAGTGTTGTCGATCTGTCATTGCAGGCACACCTCTTCTGAAACAGCTTCATAACTATGTAATTTAAAACTTAAAGTGTGAGAGTGAGCCAGTTCTGCAAATAAGTCAAAGAAGTTGGGAGCAGAAAAAAACCAAGATGAATGCATCTGGAGGAAACTGTGGGAGCCCCAGTTCTGCAGAACCTGCTGGAGATTTCTTCAAGGAATTGTGGTCCAAACTGAAAGAATGTCATGATAAAGAAGTACAAGGTAAATTGTTAAAGTTTGGGTTCACAGAAGGCTGTCTGTTACCACAGGAAAACTTTGAACCAGAGTACCACTCCATCTGCATGGAACTAAATAGATTTTTAATGTCTTATGTTATGTGGAAAGTTGGACTGGATGATTACAAATGATCCTTACAGATTGACCCTAAGCCTGTCTTAACAGGATTAGATTTAAACTGTCAACAGGTATAAATGATTTGTTAGGTCAGAGAAGAACAAGTAATACAATGTTAAACATAATGTTACATGGGATCTGTGTTTGCTTAGGAAATATTTAAATGTTACTTTACCTTTAATAGATTGTGATTCAAAGTTTCCAAATCAGGTTATTCAATGGATTTTTTTTTTTGCTTTGCTTTTTTTTTTTTTTTACTTTTGGGTTTAGTCACTTCAGATTAAATGGCTTTCATTGATTATTTCCCCTAAATTGTGCAAAATACCACTGCAGATTCATATAACTAAGTGAAAAGTATTTATTCAGTTTTTGGTGTTCTAAATTTTCTCAACAAGATTTATTAGAGTTGCTTATACTTCTATTATATTTTGTGACCTGTGATACCAGTTTTACTATGGATTGACTGTTAATGTCTGTTCATTCTTCAATAGTGCAGAAAATTAATAACACTCAAAGATGAGTTATTACACCATATATTTATATTTTTCTTATAATATTGTTTCACAAGTAGTATTCATAAAATGTTTTGCTAAAAATACTTCACAAGAAGTTCAGATTTTGTCACACAATCCATTCTTTTGGATGGAATTAAAACAGTATTTGACTGAGTCTTCCAACAAGTATGACCTTATGCATGAAACAGTATTTATCTTAGGCTGGAATAAATGCAGGTGAGTTTTTGTGAATTAAGAATTTGGGTTATGCAAATGGGTCATGCAAGTAGCCAGACTATTCCAATGGCCTTGGTCATTTCCATTAGCCTCAAAACAGTTCCAGGTCTGTCCGTTTAGGTCCAGTTATATCATCACTTCTTAATTTCAAAAACTGGGGGATTGTTTTATAACATATAGATGTTTCATACCTCCCACTGAAAGTCTTGACTCAACAATTTGCAAAACTGGGCCTTGACACTTTGTTAGTAATTTAAAAAACAAATAAAAGAATTTATACCAGTTTGGCAACTGAAAGGAAAGATGTACCAGATAGTAGCATTTTGTTACAGTAAAAAAAGTATGTGTAACTATATGAAATATAATTTTATATTGTGTCCAAAAACACACACAAAAAAATCTTTTTTTTTTTTTTTTTTACTTTTTCTTCTTTTTTTTAATTCTTGCTGGTTCTTTTCAGAGTGGGTGTGATGTCAGCTGCAGATAAATGCGGAAGTACTAACAGAATGGGATCTGGCAATCAGTGGCATGTCTGAACAACAAAAACTGAACAAACAAAAAGCTCTAATGTAGAGGGTAATGTTAAGTGACCCCTTCTCTAGTTTCTTGGGATGTGTAGCACGTGATTTTAAAGTTTTGGTTTTCTTTATGCAAGTGAAGATACTTTTCAGAATGCATGCTGGGTGTGGCCCGATAATTTTGCCACTAGGCAGTCTTTTTCATGCCTAGCCCTTTGTCAGTATGTCCTGCACCGTGTTAGGTAAAATTAGGTCTTCCATGATAACATCAAAGACATGCCTGAAGGATAGTTAATTTTTTCAAAAGGTGGGGATCCTCTTATAGAAAATGGTACTGGAAGATATTTTAGAAACATCAAACACAGGCTTGCCTGGACTTTGCTTGTTTCTGAAGTCTATAAATAAGAATTAAAATTGACTCATGAGTTTCCAATCTAAATGTCAGCAAAAAATTATTTTAAAGATGGTGGAAGGTGGATTAAGGGGAAGTTAGTAGTTGGAGAAAAAGCATTTTGCGTGTACAGCGCACAATGTACTGAACACTGTAATGGTGGAATTCTTATTATTTATTACAAATCCATGAAATGTAGGATTTATGACATATAAACTTGAAATGCTTAGGCATATTATACAAGCTATAATATTTATATATTTATAGAGTATAGACTAAAGAATCCTTCAAATTCATACAGTTTGAAATGGATTTTATTGAATTTTTATATTACTATATTGTAAAGGGTGTATTTTTCCACCATGTTAGCTAAACAAACCCAGCTTCTTATTCTTGTAAACTGATCATGTGCAAAAAATTCCAAATTTTGGCCCTCTTCAGACAAAATAGCTATCATTTTCTCTCAAATTTATCATATGACAATGGGTAGGACTCCTACAACCCAGTTCCCAAAGATGTTGGGCATGGTCAATGTCAGTTGACTTCTCATGGAATTCAGAAGTACTAAGCAACTCAGAATAATGGTTATTAAAACTATATTTACTTTTATTTCCTACCTGTAGAATGTGTGGAAAACTTGCATAGTGCTCACAAATTAGAAAAGAGTTTAGTAATGCTGTTTATAAAGTGACTAATTTCTGCAGGTGTTAATACTTGCATCTAGCTTAAAATAATTATACTTGCTGCATGTGGGTCTTACCAACATGATTCCTGAGGATGAATTCAAGTCTAAAGCTCTATCTTAAAAAGAAACATATTTCAGCATAGAAATGTATGTGAAGAGAGTTTTGTGTACAAGAAATAGCCTTTTTTTTTTTTTTTTTCCCAATTCCTCCTTACCTCTGAAAAGCAGAAGATAACAATAGGGAAAAAACTGTAGTCACAGATGCAGGGAAAATTACGAGGAAGGCAATCTCATTGATAGATTGCTGTAGGAAAGGAAATGGCTGGAAGCTCCTCTAAAGTAAATAATTACAGAAATCAGGGCTGGAAGGGATCTTAGGAGGTCATCTAGTCCATCTTTATACCCTTAAGGTAGGATTATGTCTGTGTCATTGCTGACAGAAGCTTGTCCAACCTGTTCCGAGAAAACTTTAGCAATAAAGATGCTGCAGTCTTCCCAGCCACTGTCAATTTTAAGTGGATTTAATGCATTTGAAAACTCATCAGAACAGAAATTGTCATAGCCATTAATTGAAATGTTACAGGTACATAGTCTAATCAAGTTGCAGGTTTCATAAAACAGTGGTGTACGCTTGTTTAATCTGCCTAATTATAGCTTAAAGAAAGTTTCCGTCACTTTAATGGAGACAGCGTGTCATTTACTAAAGCGCTTTAGGTAGTGTAGATTTATACAGTCTGCAGCTTGTCTAATTTTCATAGAAATATTGTGTGAAAGATAAAACTGAATTGGGAATGTACATACTGTAGTTTCATGTAAGTTTGTATGCTCACTAGAGTGTTAAATAAGGAAATCTGAAAAAGCAAAGCTCTTTAAATGAGTATGCTTAAAACCTCCCAAGGCTCTGGAAAAGTAAAAGGAAGAGATTACACCCACTGCAGTAATTCAACGCTCTTGGATAAATGTAACAAACTGGTTTCCTGCCTTCTCATTGGAGTCATTTGAATTAAGAAAAAATGCAACCTTTAAGTAACTAGTTAGGTTCCTCCTGAATTCAGGTGAGAGGGGAGATAGTGTTACCTGTAGCACAGTACTGGGCCTTTTGAGCGCTGCCTCTTCAATTTGTGGCTCAGGTTGCCAATGTTACAATCCTAAATACTTGCTGAACAGACTACCTGTTCATACAGGAGATGCATTGTTGTGCAGCTTCATTCCTTCTGATGGGCGTGGAGCAGCATTAAAGCACACTTTATAGGGGTTCTAATTCCAGATGCCTAATTGACTTGATGAATAGCAACTACTTAAAAAAAATAAACCCTCTTTCTATGCTGATCTGCATGATAGAACATAACATCTCACAGGTGTTGAACACTTAAGAGATAAAAGAAATCTTGCTATATTTCTTAAGAACTCTTTTTTTAAGTAGTCTCTGCATTTTTACCTCACTGTCTCACTGGCATCTTGTAGCATGTGGCATGGGGTTCACTGAGGCTCTGGCTGGCCTGACTGCTACGTTGTAAGTGGCCTGGACAGTGAAGCTTCTCAAGCAAGTAGTTTTCCCCCTTGAGCTGTTCTCACTTGAGTGTGGTAGGACAGACAAAAAAAAGAAGTCTATTAGCTGCCTTAACCTACATTTTATATAGTAAGATGTAGTATTTGGTATGTGTTTTGGTTTAAATTCAAAATTGTCAGAAGTTTTCTTAAAAGTGTTCTGGTTTTACAAATTTGTCATATTACCCTAAATGACAAATGCTTTTGAAAGAAAGCTCACAAGACACCTTATGTTCAACTTGAAGTTGCTTGCAACTTTTCATAGGTTGAAGAAAATATGGCATTAGGGAAAATTGTGTTACATTATTTTCTGATGTCTTAGGAAATTTTCTATTGGATTTGTATTTCAGAAAATATACCATTGGAATCTGATTATTTCCAACCGTTTATTTAGAATGGGAATGGCCAGCGTGTGTGTGGGTAGTATCACATAAATTTCCATAGCACTGCATCCTACTTGCTAAGGTGTGCTGTACTTAAAGCACCTTTATCTTCCTGTCCCTGTGCACATACACGTGCACCCAAAACCTTGCAAGCAGATTGGCTGGACTGCTCTCTAGCCCCTGGGCCATCATCTGCCCACTCCTTCCCAGAACATCAGTTTTATTTGCAAACCTTTTTACTTCTGCGCTGAACATGCATTTAGGAGTGTGTGGGCCTTAGTGGGAGAAGGGCCACAGATGAAATATCATTCCTCAGTGTACCTTAGGAGGTTCCAAGGAAGCTTTGGCCAAGAGGGTCTGGTAGCATACCTCCAAAAGATTATGTTGTCCTTTTGTGCTTTAAAGCCTTAAATCATATATTTTTAATGTTTCTTTATGTGTATACATGGTAATACATTTTTCAGTAGTTGGATGCTACATTTCAAGTGTAGTATTATGCATTTATGTGTACACAGAACATATTTTATGCTGCTTAGGTAGGCATAGTCGATGAAAATATATTGACAGTGCTTGGTAGTCATGTGGGTTTTTTTACAAAGGTGTTTTTATACCTGTTTAGGTGGGAATCTGCATGTTTGTTTAAGAAGTCCCTATTTCCTAGGAATCATAACAGCTATATTTTTTTCGAAGATCATGTAGAACATACTTAAGAAGTCTAAAATGAACCATTTTCTCTCTAAATTAGTGGCATTTTTTTTCTCTCTTTTGCAGATGTCATTGGCAGAAGGAGAGTTAGTTTATTGTTTCACTCATTTTGTTGAATCAGATTTCTGTAACATATTTTCTTCTTTCCACTTTTCAGGCTTACAGCTGAAAATATCTAAGCTGAAAAAGGAAAGATGCTTGTAAGTACTCATTCTAATGATCTAGTTTATTAAAGGAGAGTCTGAGTACCATTAACAAGCTGTAATTCTTGTGAGAACAATTGAGGTTTCATGGATTCTTCCTTCAGACATGTACAAAACTCTCCTCGCTTTGATAATTTGACTGAAGTCATCTAAAGATACAGGGTGTGTAACCTGAACACTAGGTTTGCCTTCCTTGAACAAATGACTGGTAAGGTTTTCTTATCCATAGTATTTCTAGGATGCCTACTAAGATGTTGACGTCTCTAATACAAAAGATAATTAGGGAGACATTTTAAAATTAAGGTTCTATCTGTAAAAGAGAAATAATGACAAACCAAAAAGCCAACTTTTTTTAGAATTTAATTTTTTTTGCTACATGTTTGCCTTTAGTATCAGATGTTACACCTTAACTTGGCTTTCAGTCATTCAGTAAAGATTCTGGTAATAACCTTGCTAATTTTCACAAAAGTCTTAAATTATAAGACATATGTAACTTCTTTTGCAATCATTATTTGCTACTGATTTTTAGTTCTGTTCATTAGAAGCAATTTGGGGAAAAAAAATCTGAATTACAAGATTTACATGTACAGAAGTATCACAATATGTATTTACAGCATTAAATCAGCTTTTATTTTCCTTCTGCTGACTAAAACCATATTTAATTAAATTATAAGAGATATGCTAATGTGGTTCTTTATTCAAATTTTTACTTGAGGTTTAATTATAGTAATACTATGTTAATATTACATATGACCTGTATTGTGAGTTGCACTTTATAAAGTGCTGTGTAGGAGGAATAAAAATAAATTACTTGATCTTTTTCTACTTTGGAAAACAATATTATGATATGAGATATGTTAAAGAAATTAAACTCTTCTTAAAATTAGCAAAAATACTCCATATTTGCATTTCCAGCGTTACCATCTGAAGTCGAAAATATACAGTCTTACTTTTAAAGAGTAGCCGCAGTGCTCTCAAGCATAGTTTGTGCTTTTTCCGAATTAACATTTCTATCATCACCTAGTCAGTTTTCTTCCTCATTAATTCTTATTAGGTTTTTTCATTGTTTCTTTTTTAGTTACATTTTTCAAGTTGTATAAGCAGGAAATAACTTTTCCTTAGTCTAGAAAAATTAGGTCATTGTGTGCTTTTTCTGTACCATAGTGACTCAAGCAACTCTCTAGCATTTTCGATAGTTATCTTCTAAACTCCCCGATGTGCTTATATTTCTGGCTGAGAGGGAAACACAGATATCTTTCCTTAGGAGTAAATTCCCACTAGTGGAATCCATCTTTCCCTTTTCCTCTAACATGAAGTATGTAAATGCATCTTAAAATGATACTGGCTTTTCTAGTATAATTAGATTGTACTACAGTCCATACTTAACTTGCTGTCTACTTTTATTATAATTGTTCTTCTGTAATTATAACTGCCTCACTTCCAGAAAAAATTGTTCTTGTTTGTTTTCACTAGGCACTTGGAAGAAACTGCCTTCAGTTGTGTAATGCCTGTGTTGCTCCCTTCCCTATATATCTTTTTGAGTTTTGTTTATCATGGTACTCAAACCTCCTCTGAGCTTGTGCTTTCAGTTAAATATCGCCCATCCTGCTGGCATTTGATAAACCACAGAAGCACTTTGAGCCTGCACAGTATTGTGTTTTTTCACATTTCAGCTGCATTCATACAGATTTCATCTGTGAAGGCTATAGATAATTGCCTATGATTTTGACTTTTGTCTGAATGGTGTCACTCTGACAGTTCCTGAGCAGGTGCCAGTGTTTTCTTTGCACTTTGTGAGGACTAAAGGCTGCAGAGAAGCTGGTAGAATATAGCAGTGGCAGCTGAAGGAACAGTTCGGGACAGGATCACAAAAGGAAAGATTAATTAATCACTTCCATGACAGCATCCACCTTATTCTGGTACCATCAGGATTCTGTGCATTTACCAAGGAATTCACCAAACCTACAGCAGGTTTTACAATCCCAAGAGTGCCTGTGTGGCTAACTCCCTGTTCCCCCATGTATGCACCTGCTCCTCAGGATCAAGATTTGTCAGCTTTTATATGGCTTCTTGCTCAGTCTCCAACACTAGTAGAACACAGGGCATACTCTTTGCAGCTGTTGCTTAATTGTGCATAAGAGTTCACAAATTATTAAAAAAGTGGCAATGGATTCCAGTTCCTTATTTGGTGTGTTGGTGAATTTTTACTCAGTTGGAAATATGAATTCATATGAGCTTTATCAAGATTTGGAGTTCAGGATGTATCATGGAATGTTATCACATCTTTCAATAAAATCCAAACAGTATATGCATCTTTACATTTTAAAGATATGCTTTCTGAACATTAAGATTGATATTGCAGTATCACAAGGAATATATTTGTTAGTAGATGAAATTATATTAGGTTATTAGCTGACTCTGAGTTAACAAATATTTGATGCTATGTTTTATACTTAAAGGCTACACCTACTTTCCTGGAAAAAATCAGTTTAACATTATTTCTTATGTATAATTCATAAATGAAGTACTTATTTTTAATCTAAAAGGATGAAATTATCTCTTGCTGTTATTGTCAACTTAACCTGGCATATCATGAGTTACTTCCACGTTCTGAAAATCTTAAATTGATCAGTTAATTCTCTAGATGATGAATATTATCAGTGATGTGACAGAACACATAGCAAATGGTTTAATTATTGTTTGTTGGAATATTTCTACAATTACTACCTCGTAGCTACAATACTCTTACATAGGAGGTCTTGTACTCCTTGGTGTGTCTGAATACCTGAGGTTCAGTATTTCAAACTTGGTAATCAGCTGACAATGAGTGCCTTATTTTGTATCCCACTTCAGAATTGGAGCTAATGACTTGTAAATGCTAGGTCAGAGACTCTTCATTATGCAGAATGCCTTCATAGCCAAAAATGTCTGGCACGTTTATCAGGTACGCTGGAATTCTTTAAAAAAAACAAACAAAAACCAAAACACCAACCAAGCAGCCTAGTTCCTTCTATCATTTTACTATCTCAGTGTGACATTTTACAGGGTTTAGGTGGAAGACATGGAGTATTTTTAACAAAGAACTCAATGCCATTGAATGACTTAAAGGTAGCTTGAGAAAATATTTTAAAATTTGATACTTTAGGCCTTCTCTAAGTTGCATAAACTGAACAAGGAGATTTATTTTTTTTTCATGCCATAAACATCAGAAAAATTGTCAGACTTCAAATTTTGCCGTAGACTGACTGTACTTGGTTAATGGACTGACGTAACAGAACTTTAATATTTTGTCCTCCCCAAGTGAAAGTACAAATCTGTAATGGTCCCTCATGCTGTTTGCATGCAACTGTTTTATATGTTGTATATGCAACTGAAAAGGACAATATTGGTCTAGGTGGTAGTAGAGAAAAATAAAATATCTATTCCTAAATTTCATAATTAATGTGTCTGTGATTGTACACTGCAGAAGCTTCCAGCTGTCCCATTCACTTTGTGACCTATGATTGTTAATTTCTTGCATTACTCTAATACCAGCAATATGAAAATGTGTTTGACTAATGTACCTTAACAGGATAGTGTTGATTTTAAAGTATGTGCAAAAGAATTGTATCAACAAGTTGGTAAATATGTTTTCATTTCCTAGTGTATGTGTGCTTAGCAGCTTTTTGTGGGCCACTTTCATGGCTTCCTCAAATAATCCATCTCAGGCACACCGAAAAGAAACACCCGCTTTCATGGAATATACAAAGAATTCCATGGTAAAAAGAAGAGCTGGGAATGAATTCTCAGAAGTTAGTCATTGTCATGTTACATAGATTCACCTGCTTAGCTTTTACTGAAAGTTTATTTCCTTGTAGAAAAAAACCCCATGTGCTTGTTTTTCATACCTTGTTTGCATCTAGAAGTCTTGTGATCTGATAATAAAAGTGAAGGGCAGCTAAAATCTGGAAGTTAATAGTCCTGCTTTTCCTTAGCTCTTTTGAGGAGGAAATGCTCTTTGTTAATTAAATAGCCCTGGCTTTTAGAGAAGGTATTTTCTCCAAGGTCTTCTGTTTCTGAGGTTTTTGGGAAGAGAGTTCTCTTCCCCATATTCATATTATGGGAATCTGTGTTCTGTAGACTGAGAATTGCTTCTTGAGGAACTAAACCTAATGGATGTAAAGGCTTGTCAGAGCTTTACAAACCTCACGTGGTTTTCCACACTGCAAGATTCACTTACTGCTAAGACAAGACCAAAGTGACCTGATTGGGAAAGCCCACTATTAGCTTCCCAACAGCTCAGCAGCACAGTAAAATAAGAGAAGTGCTTGAGCTTATATTCCTTGAAATTGTTGCTTGAATACTATTAGCTTTTATGCCTTGACTATCATGAACTCTAATTTTTGTCCTGAGCAAAAATCAGATTTCTCAACAGAAGCTCAACTGTAATATGAGTTAGAAACTAGCTGCTCCTTTCTTAACTTGGACATTTCTAAATTACCATTCATCAGAAATACTTGCTTCATTTATCCTCAACTTAATATTTGTACTGATGATAATCACATTTCCCAGGAATATGAAAGAAACAAGCCAGAGAGAATTCTCTATTGAAAAAGTAATAGCTGTAATTTAAAGCTAGAACTAACTTTTTTTTCTACTTGATTTTAGGGATGCAGAGAGGCTTGAAGAGTTTTATACCAAGAACCAACAGCTCAGAGAACAGCAAAAAGCACTTCATGACACTATCAAGGTTTTAGAAGACAGGTGAAGTAGTCTTTTAGCTCTTGGGTTTGTTCTGTTTTGCTTTTACAGACTAGCTCTGGATTCTTTGCAAGTTTTGGTTTGGGGTTTTTTTTTGTAAACCAGTCCTTGTCTAATATGATCTAAATAATGTGTTTTAAAGAAAAGTGGAGACTTTAGATTATTCTGACTGAATTGGATTTTTGTTATTTTCAAAGTGCTTAGCTTGCTTAGTTCAGTTAAGATAAATAGAAGTTAAATAGATCGGCTTGTGAGGCAGACAGGCATTTTAAAGCACACACTATTCCATCCATTTTTGTGGGGGTAAGTTTAATATCAATGGAGATGTAGTACAAGTACAAAACCCAAGGGTAAACTATATAACATACTTTGAAAGTCTCAATATAACTCATTAGGAAATCTTTCAGATTTGAGGGAGGTCTTTACCAGTTGTCTGTTTTACCTAAATTTAATCACAGGTTCTGTCTTTTTGCCTTCTTTTGAACTTGGATATTCTGATCACCTTTTGACCCATTCTGCCTTTTCCTTATTTGTTCCTGTTTAATCTGGCATAGCAAAACAAAACCAATAGACATGAAATTACAGTGCATTTTTTTCAGCTTTTAAAAATGACACCTATTTTGGAAAGTATATGTTAAATTTGCTGTTAATAGGCTCTCAAAAGCTTTCTGGGAACAGGAGATCATTACATAGTAAATTATTTTCCTACTTTCATGTGTTACCTCAAATTTTGGAGCTATAATACTCAAATTTTGCTTTCAACTCTGTTTCTGTGTGAAAGGCATTAGGAATAAACATGTAACTGTGCAGGTAATAACTTTCACACCACATAGGTAGAGACACATTTACAGTGTGGATGGACTTTTCTAATCCCTTAGCAGATGAAGTACTCACACTGCAGAAGACAAAAAGAGTACTTATAATGTTTTAATACAAGGAGATGATAATGCTGTGTTTATTACACAGTCAGATAAGCTGGTGTGAAGAGACATTTCAGTATTTTACTCTTCCCATAATTCCACAATATTAAAACCCCATAAACCAAGATGGCTTTTGCTTCCAATATTTAATTGGAAACTTAGGTGTTTTGTTTGGTTGGTTTTTAATACTCCATGTGCTAGCGACAGCAATGCAGAACTCGTAACCATTTGGTCTCTTATTTAGCCGGCAAAACACAGTGTGGTTTTCACTTTGGTAATATTATTAGCTTTTTGTTGTGTACGAGAAATAGCTACACTTCGGTTATCACCTGTAAAGTGAACACGCATTTCATTGCATGAATGAATGTGTCAAGTAAGATGGAATGATCATAACAAGTCCTTTTCTGATAGGTTCTGATAGCTGTTATTTCTTTAAAGAGCTGATCTGAACCATTAGAACCAGTGGAGGCAATGCCTCACATGAACTTTTGGATCCACTTTCAAGTATTGATGTCTAGATAAAGAGAGAGGATCTTACATTTACTTGGTATTTGTTACAGAGCGAACTTACTATTTGTGCTTTTTTTTGTTCTTAATGACAGTGATATATCCTTCTTAGGTGAAGTAGTAATTATATTTACTGAAATTATTTGCTTATTTGTATTTGCTTGAATGAACTTTACTTATAATGAATGGTAATTTGTATCTGACAGTACTCTTAGGAGGACACCTCACAAAGGCTTTCGGTGGCAAGGTGTAGCATGCTTCACTTTCTTAAAATAATGCATGTTGCTTTAGAAGTATCCAGTACCTACAGTCGTTTATGCAAATGTTAATACAGGTAGTATTAGGTTGTTGAGAAATCTCAAAATATTGCCATATCAACATATAAAACCACAGTACTTAGTGGTGTTCTGTATAGTTGACAGAAATTTCTGGTTTTCATTGTTCAAAAGGCCAGTTAAGTGTGGATATCTGCTTTATGGATGGCAGTATTTTCTTAACAGAGGGGCTTTTTTTCTCTTAATTTTATTGTAGATTAAGAGCGGGATTATGTGATCGCTGTGCTGTAACTGAAGAACATATGAGAAAGAAGCAGCAAGAGTTTGAAAATATCCGGCAGCAGAATCTTAAACTTATCACTGAGCTTAGTGAGTTTTATCCATGAGTCTGAAAACAACACATACTATTTTGTAAACTAGTTCCTTGTGAATTCCTGTAACTTGATATAATTTATATATGCTGTGTTTAGTAAGTCCAAATTCCGTCACGGGGATACTTAATTCTACAGTCTGAAAATACATAATATACCAATTACTAGTCACATGACCCACCTTCTTAGATTGAAGTGCTGATACTGAAAGTGAATTGACATGGAAAATCTTACAGTATAAAGTAGCTACTGTAGATAAAATGTGGCTGCTTCTGTTTATTCCTTTAACTAAAACATACAATGACTGATTACCAGTTTTCCTAAGGAAATTCTGACTTCAAAAGCAACTGGTGATCACAAAGTAGCAAGTTCAAACAGAAGTTCCCTGGGTCCAGCTTGTGCCCTGTAGATTGTCTTGGAGTTTAACTGCAATAACCCATAACCTTCACATAACCCTCTAAAGCCACAAAAGAATCACTTCATGCCAGGCAGTTTGTAGGCAGCTCATTTGGAAATCAGGAAGTTGTATATATGGGACAGGAAAAAAGAAACTCTTCTGGGTGACATGAAGGCAGGACACAACAAATGTCTTCATAAAGAGAGTTTGGAAAGATTGGTGGTATAAAATGCTAAAAAAATACAGGACAGGATTTTAAAATGTTAATCGTATCTGTACCATTAATTAATTATTTTGTGTCATTTAGTTGTCTGGCTTGATCAAAAAGAAGCAGACATTCAGTGAGATTTAAAATATGGTAAATGCCAGATACAAAAAGTAGCTTTTCAGTGCTTAAGTTATTACTACAGAATCTAATATTACTATATGAAATACATACATTTTTCAAGGACTTTTAATATTGGATATTTATGTAAAAATATTCTGAATTCTTGAGTTTAATGATTAACAACATGGTACAACCAATCTTTAAATAAATCTCTGAACTGTAAAAATCAAGGTGAGACCTATTAGCTACAAATCTTCTTGAACGCTATCTGACAGAACAGTAGTCTTTTGTGGGTTTGGGCTGAGATCTATATGATGATTTATGTATTTCCTGCAACCAGCAAAAAAGATCAGTCAAGAATAATCCAGAGGTAAAATATGTAACAAGAAAATAAAAAAGCAAAGTGAACAGAAAAGTTGGGAGCTGTCACTATGTTAGTTTGAGACATCATGGAAAAAAGGCTGAAGGTGATGCAGTAAGCTTGTGTGGAGTCCAGGCAGAATGAATTGGAAATTAAGAAAAGTAAATAAAAAAAATTCTGACAAAATATTTAACTGATTTTTAAGAAATCGGGGTTTTTTCCCATTCTATCCAATTAGCTGGCCACTTCAGTGGCTAAAACCAAATTCTTATTACTTTATAATTCATAGGCTGTCTTCAACCTAAGGAAGCAATTTTGTCCATGGAGCTGAGTGAGCAATTCATTCGTCTTTACCACAAAGTCTCACTTGTACGTACATAAACAACAGTAATTCATGATTGTGTGGAACTAATATTACGATCCAGTAGTTGTGACACCCTTGCCTTTTCTGACACATCGTTTTACAACCTTTTTAATGCCTAGCTTGAAAATTCATTTTGGTAATACCATACACCCTCTATGCCCTACGTTTTAGAATTGGTTCTGTTTCCTTAAAGGACATGACAAAATTCGGTATGATGTGATGTTAACGTGTGCATTGATTTTTTTTTTTTTTCCCCTCTTTTTTTTTTTCTGTAAATTGCAGTGAATGAAAAAAACAACTTACAGGATGAAAATAAAAAGATAACTGAACAGTTCCAGCAATTACAGAAGGAGTTGGAGTAAGTTTTGAGGGTTTTGGGTATTATCTCCCCTGCAAATTCCTCAGTAGTAATGTTTGGGAATATAAATATCAGCTTTTAAGTCTTTAAAACTTGAGTTTCCTCTTTTTTAATAGATTGTGAAAAGATAGTCTACAGCCACTATAACAACGTAAAACTAGCAACTTTGTATTGTGTAGAATTTTTTTTTTTTTTTTAACTGTGTGCATCTTTCTTTTTTTAAACTGAAAGACAGATAAATTTGTCATAGAAATTCTGATTGACTTCAAGACTGTTCAAGATTATTCTGGTCACAGTGCATAGCAAAGCCTAACATCTCATTCTTTTATTCCTCTGCAGACTCTTTACCAATTCTTTCCTCCTAGGTTAAGACCTTAGAAAAGTAGTTTCTCAGCTAGTCAAAAAGACCCAGGATCTTGCCATAAATTCTTAAAATAAACTTAAAATAATTTTGTAAATTTTGAAAGAAAACCATAAAAATAACGAACTACAAATTGACTGTCAAATTGTAATCTGATATGATAGCAAGAACATGCCATATAATGTTGTGGTTAATATGCAGATATGGTGTAGTGTGCAAGGCAGAGGTAGTAGTCCTTTCTTGTATAGCTGTGGTCTGACATCATCTGAAACTTATCTCGGTTTTGCCTATCTGCTTGGTGAAATTAAAGCTCTTCATCCTGCTGACTTGGGGTTTTATTTGACCATCTGATTTGGTCTCCAGGGAGCGAAAGCAACAAGCAGTGGAATTAGAAGAAGGTGTCATTCCAGATTCTCCAGTTCTGACTTCTTCGTTTTCTATGGTTAATCGTATGAAAAGAAAAAAAGAGAATAGGCATATCCGATACACAGAACATACACACCCAGATTTGGAACTTGCAGAAAGCAATGGTGGTAAGAGTATTGTAATTTTTAATTAATTTTAAAAAATATTTTTAAAGGCTAAAGAAAAAGATGGTGTATAAATTTGATTGCAAAGGGTGAAATCTAAAAAAAACCTCATGTTTTTCTTGGTTTGGCTTTTTTCCGTTTATGCTATAATACATGAGCCGGGAAAAATGTCTTTAGCAGTAACTGTTATATCAGCGATATGCTCAGAGCTTATCTCTACCTCCTACTTTTCTTTGTCCACATCCACATCCAAATATAACTGTTTTCCAACCCATATCTATTCTGTAACTACAAACAAACTAAAAAATCTGCTAGGGTTTGACTTGTGCGTACAGCTATGTCACCACCTAGTGGAGAGTGAAATAAATGTTTTGCCACATTCAGCAGTTTTTCTGCAATTAAACATTACTGAAACTGATAAATAGCTAATTCTAGCAGCTATGTGATCTTTTTCTGGTACTGATACACTGTTGGCACTTGTTTTGTGTCTAAGTTCGGAAGTATTGTGCACATTTAATTTCTAAACTTCACTTTAATGTCATAGAAATAGCTCTAATGTATTTTAACTGTAAGAATTTTTTTGTGAAATAAGGGACTTTGGGTTGTATTTAATGATACACAGGAAATATGATAAACAATCCAGGTGTTCTTAAAGTGTTAATATATTTCATGGAATAAAAAAAAAGTATTTAAAATGATATGAATACATCTAAATATAAATCTTGACTAAAAGCTTCTTTTCAATAATACAAATAGCACAACTGTGGGGTGAAGAGGGTGGGTTGGTTATCCGTGCCCTTTCTTTTGCCTATGCAATTTGAACGCTGTGAATAGTTTTTCCTTTCTAAATATACCTACTTCTTTCCATTTTCTGAATAAAAAGTTGGAACTAAATTAAAGTTAACTATGTAGGAAATGGTGTAAATACCTATCACAAGTAATGGCTATAAAAAGCTGTTGGTGTCCAGATAGAAAGGACTACAGCATGAAATTGGTCGTGATTAAAATCTCAAGTTTTTCACATTTTCATTACCTTAGCTGATGCAGAAAATTATTCCCCTGGGTGGGTGGTTTACTTTAATAGTTTTGTTGCCATATTAACAGGTCAAATATAGATTGAATACATACTTTTTATGTGGTTAGTATAGAAAGTGATGTAATTATGTGTCAGTATTGTTTTATGGTTAACTGGCTGGGCTCATATTTGTGAGCGAAAGGATTAATATGAAATATTGGTGACTAATTTGTCATAGTGATACTTCAGAATAAAATCAAAATAATCAGATGTGCGTAGGTTACTGGATCTACTGACATATCAATATTCACATTCAGTGCTTTTAAGATTGGGATAATTGTCTGTATCTACACAAAATTATCACAACATGATACCTAATTTCACTGTGTGAACATGTTTCCACATCTTCCAGAGTTTGGAAGAATTCCACTGTATACCACACAAGTGAACAGTCACCACGGAGAAGAGGTATTAGTGGCAGATACCTGTGATCCGCAACTGTCCCCTGTACCAAGTAAGTGTATTAATAGATTTAGTTCTAATTCCACTCAAAATAAGGCAAGAATATTCTAAAACTGAGGGTTCATCAACAGCTGAGGGTTCATCTCTTTAAACACAGGAGCCAGAAAAAAGATATTATGTTTAATCACAGAATTGCTGCTGAAATGCCTATCTTGTAATACCTGTCTGTATGCCACTAGATCTAGTGGCATAGCATCAGGGTTTAGAGTCAAGAAATAAGAGCTGCACTGAGCTTCTTCTTACTGCAGATATCTTATATTTTAGGTGACTTACCCAATTGGCTTAAGTCTGATTTTTCCAACTGTACAGGAGATAAAACGTTCTGTGAATTGCACGTGTCTGACATGAATATGCAACATTTAGAAGGGCTTCTGTTAATTATTCCCTTTTTTGCAATTGTGAATTGGTACAAGGCTTTAAGTCCTTCTCCATAAACAGTTCTTTGACAAGAACTTTGTGTTCCTTATTTTTTTTCGGTGAAGCATTTAACTATTAACTGTAGGAATCAGTGTTTTGGAATTATTTGTGCAGGTCAGGTTTGTGGTGGCTGTAGTTCTTGTACTTTCCCATCATATTACCTTGCCCCAGTTTAATAATGAGTAATATTAAACTCCTAAAAGAAGGGAAACTCATCTATTCGGTTTCCTAATAAAAAGACAGGAAGAATAATAAGTGTCACCTAGGAAATATGCATTGCAAACATTTTTACTATAAGTATGTTATCACTGTTCTACATGCTTTTCTACTCATAAAGATAAACCAAGGATGGGAGGCTATCCTGTTCCAAAGCCATCTTTTAACTTGGCTGCAGTCGTGGCAGAAACAATTGGACTTGCTGTTCAAGAGGAATCTGTAAGTGGTATTCCCAGATTTCTTACATAATGAGCTTTTTGTGCCGGTTGTTTTCAAAACCAGTATTTTTCTCTTTTGCATTAAAATTCTGCAAAAGTATTCCGAGTTCCAATAAGCTCATTTTGATTTGCTTTTGCTTGCTCATTACAGAATTGCTCTAGCAAGAAGAGATATAACTGTGCTGACCTGTCCAGGGGTTGGGGAGGAGGGTAGTGGCGCAGTTCCTGCTGTGCATACAACTTTCAAGTTTCACTAAAACAGTGGACTAAATCTTTGGGTCTGCCAAACTCCCTTTGTGCAGTAATCAAGTCTAAGACACTAAAAAAAGATTATTTGGTGATGAGACTGGTGACTCAGGCGAGATTATTTGATGTCTTTGCTTGGTAACTACAGTGAAAATGATAGCATGCAGACTTTTTTTTGCACGTGTGTGCATTTGAATGATGAAATTTTTTAATTTCCGTAAGATTTCTTTAAAGTTGTTGGCCAAAATTTCATCTCTCTTGTAACTTTTATTAATTTTCAGTTTTGAATGGTTCAATTTGAACAGGTCTTCAGAGTCTTTATGTGCAAACCTAGCATATTTCTGATTTTTAATTCTAATAGCTTCTCACACTTCATTTCTTTGTTTTCCTTCACCACTTGCAAGGAGTCCCACAGTGTTCTGAGTCCTCCCCACACTAATGCTGTTATGAGCCAGGCCCCAGAGAGCATGCAGTCTGAAGACTCAAGAAAACATCCAGCTTCTGAATCAAGAAATGATGGCAACAATTTAGGGTGTGTTTCCACTTGGTTATAACAATATTTTAAACAGGCTTATATGAAGTTCTGGTTTTAGTAGAATTTAAAACCTTACAGCAGTTTGTTTTAAAGGCACAGACTTGGAAATAAATATTTTCATATTATATGGGCTTCTTTCAAGTAAATAGCATGAGAAGCGAAGGAACTGATAGAATGCAAAACTGTGGACTTTTACTTCATTTGCAAACTTCTGATTTGGGCTTTCTATGTACACAGTCCCTCCCTCACTGACTTCTTGTTATTGTGAGGTATCTTCTGAGGCCCATAAACCTGGGGGTAAGGGATCTGGAGCTGGGGTAGGAAAATGATCATAAAACCTTTCTGCTGACCATATGTCACGCAAGTTGACTGTTGCCCTTCCCACTCTCCTCGGGATGTTGTGGTCTAAACTGAATTTTTTTTGCCCCTATTTGTCACCTTAAATGTATATTTTGTTGATGACAAGTGAAAACCAGAGTACCTGAAAGAAGCTTGCATGCTTTCCTTCACTTGCAGAAGCTCTGAAAATCTGTTATCATGGTTATAAGATCAATACAAGAACCTAGATAGACTGCTATCACAACCATTCTCACTTTCGTCCATTTCACTGCATTGAAAGGTAGGGAGTCCTTTGGTGGAAGAGTTTTCTAGGTAGGCTTAATTCTGTCCTTGGTTCTCAGCTGAATGTGGAACAGAATTTTACACCATACTAAAATGAAGGACAAGGTCTGTGTTTCGTTTGCCGTTTATGGCTTTAGGTGCAACAGTACTTAACTCCTCGACCAAAAATTTCCCTCTTCTTTTTCCTTCTGTTTTCAGTTAATACTAGCAGCTCTGACAGCTTATAAGTTCCTATCAGTGATCTACTTTAAATTTTTGTATAGCCCTTTCTCTCCTCCCAGTCCCCTGTGTACTCTAGAAAAATACCTCATCTCTCATTGTATTCAGTCTTTCAGATCCATCTCAGAACACTCCACCACATGCTGACTGGGATTCTCAGGTAGCCTCTCCTGTTTTTGGAGCTTCTAGCAGTGTGAAGAACAACTCAAGTACAAGTCATGCCTCTTGTATTTTAGATTCAGGATTGAAGCCTAATCTCAAAACCAACCTCTTCAACCATCCTTCCAGTTCCAGATCTCATAAAAGTAGATCAAAATCTGAAGATGTTGCTTTTGTTGCACCACTGCATCTTGGAACTGAAATCAACTCAGTTATCAGCCAGGCCTCTATCAATAGGCAAATGGTTGTGAAAAAGAATACTAATGAGGCTGTAACCTGTGTTGGAAACACTTGTGCAACTAAAAATGAGGTGATCAAGAGCGAATTCCTTCTCATGCACCAGAGGCAGTTAGAAAGCAGGTGTGCTAAGAGAAAGAAAGCTGAAGATGAGCCTGCAATTAACTGTGAAAAAACATCCTTCAACAAAGAGAATTCTATGCCCTTTCAATCAGATGTTCAGCATATTAATGGGGAACATACAGTTGATAAGCCCTTGGATCTCTCTGATCGCTTCTCTGGAGTTCGTAGTCAAGACAAAAAGCAAGGAAGTGAGGAGACCTGTAAAAATAGACTGAAACAGGTGACTCTGCATGACATTTTTTCACAGCTAGGGAAGCCCATTCCTGAAGGTTCATCGTCCATTCAAAATGCCAACAATGAGAACTGTTTGTTTGGCAGAGAGTTACAAGAGGAATCCCGTGTACAAGAGGCAATGCTGGGAAAAACATTCCCAGATAAGAAAAACCAGATCCAAATGAAAGAAGAAGTTCCTCCCTTCAAAATTGCACCACCACCATGTTCTCCAGACACAGAGAAACTTTTTGATCATGTGCAGGTATGCTTTTCTGACTTTTTTATTTCTTCTCCTTTGAAATACTATATTTAAGTTTGGGGAAATAGTAAAATTGCAATATGTTGTTAGGTTGCCAGTGGCCATGTACCAAATAGAAAGAAAACAAGGACAGGACATGGAGAGTCTGAACCAGCATCTGTACTTCAACCAAACCCTTGTAGACTGTCAAAAAATAAATCACTGCAAAATGAGCCAGGTAACTGGATGAAAATTTTCCTTTTATTGCCCCCCTGCCCCTCCAGCCTGTGCTATGGTTGAATTGATTTTTTTCATATCTTCTTTTCTCCCACTTTAATCACTTTCTCTGTTCTGCTTCTAACTTAGTCTCGTCCTAGTCAGGACTTCTCAAGATCACCCCCCACATTTTCAATCTATGTCTTCCTTGCCATAATAAATATATCATTGGCATTCAGCTGTAAACTCAACAGGCTAGGAATTTTGTTCTTTCTCATTTATTTAGCATTATTGTTTACTGCAGCATGTGACTAACAAATGCTGAAATAAAATCTCAGAAAGTTTCATTTTGTCTGTATCAAATGCTTGAAAATTGTACTTAAGTATAAGGATAAGCCATTTTGTTAATATTTTGGATGATTCTACAATTCATCTGTTAAAGAAATTTTAATGATAATGAACAGATGCTACCAAATAGTCTTCCTAGAAGTTGTATCTTCTTTCCTGTTAAGTGGTCCCAGTCTGAAAACTTATTTTTTTAACTGGGATTGTAGAATTGCTTCAGTACTTTTTACCTGAGCTGTTACGCCGCATACTTTACTTAGAAATACTTGCGTTGTGAATTTAAAAAAAACCTGTCAGCAGTTGGTGTGGCCATGTAGCTTGGAATCTAAACCTCTACTTCACAGGTAAATCAAGAGCCAGGAACAGTGGCCAGGCACTTTTCTACTCTTTTGCATTCTAAGACCTGACTTTTGTATTCTTATTGATCTAATATCTTCTATCTGGTATTAATAGTACTTGATTTACACAGTACAGAGATTTTACCTACAAGAGTATTGTATGTATTACATACCTCATGCAAACACAAAGGAGTGGTGTGTTCCCTGAATATGACAAAAAACTTAAAGATCTAAGTTTCTAACTCTTCAGAGAAAATAGGATTTACACCAAATGAGTGTGTTTATTGTTTAAGAAAAACACAAAGATGAATTAATAAAAGGAAAACTGACTTAAATTTAGAATGTTGTTGGCAGAATTGGATTCTGATTATTTGCCATTTTTCTCATATTCTCTGCATCCAGACCTGAAAGATAAACCTTTAGAAAACCTCCAGTGGAGCATAGACCCAGGAGCTGACCTTTCACAGTACAAAATGGATGTTACTGTGATTGCTACAAAGGTAAACTTGTGTAACATGTCTGCATGTTCTATGATATTGAAAAAAGCCTACAAAAGTAGTGTCATGAATTTGCTTCTGGGCTGACCAAAACCACTTTTTAACAAAAATCTAAATTCAGCTCATTTGATAATTGTTTGCACTTCTGAAACGTTTGTTTATGTGTAGTACACTACAGATATCCTAAACCATCTCCACTATCTAGTTGTATTTGATAAACTTAGCCAGGTGGCTACTCAGTATGAACCTGATGTGTTTGGAGGTGTTTGGGGTTTCTTTTAAGACAAAAAAAAAATCTCATTATTTTTTTCCTGTGAAAATGTTTGCTGTGATATCTCTTTATGTTAAGTAATAGAAAATGTACAGATAATGACTATATCTCTCTTTGAGTTGAGTGCAGGTTGGTTATTAGGATTTCTGAGAATTCTCCTAAGGACTATTTGTTTTCTCTCACTTAAAGGCTGTCTTAAAATGTTTAATCTGACCAGTTTTTAATTTCTATATGTTTCATTGTTACTTTTTATCTTTGTAGAATTTAATATAAAAACTTCTCAGGCATTTCTTGGCCATCAAGTAATGTAATCCACCAGATAAATGTTTCATTTGAATTTCAAAACATGTTATTCACTTACCTAGATTTTATGTCTTTATCATGCAGAAACTACTGCAGAAAAAAACATCACAGAAAGTGTCCAAAAGAAATCAGTAACTGTTGTGGAAGTGTTTCAGATACACATCAATGGCACTTACTACACCAGTTGCTTCTGAGCGCAATTGTCATGTTTGGTTTTTTTTAGGGTGGTTCTCTGTCAAAAGTCGAAGGGGAAGTTGTTGATATGGATTATACATATGTTAGTGATAGTGTGCTATTAAAAATGAAAAATCAAGAGCAAAACCAGGAAAGCAGTCCAAGTAAGATTTTTTTTTCTTTTTTTTCTTTTTTTTTTGTCATTTGTGTGTTTGTTTTGAGGAGGCAAGAGGGAAGGG